ATAAGTGAATTGTGGACCATAATGGACCAACAGAAACTGTCAACCAGGAAAACTGCCACAATGAAATACAGCAGAGTAATGGACACTGCTTTAGGTTTACAGTAAAACCACTACAAGCCATTAGAGGACAAAAGGAGGGGATGTTTTACCTTCAAAGCACAGAAGATGCACGAGTCCTCCATGCACTTATGAGTGGTCAGCTGTCGAAAGCTTCTGCGGAAGATGTCAAGATGCCAAAGAACCTGAAAGACAGTTAATGGATTTATTATTTATCCAGTGTTCAAACTGGAACCGAGTCCTTTGTCCCTTTTTGTCTTAATTTTATTGTTTATTCCTTAGATTTCAGTTCCCTCTTGTTCCTTCTTTGAGCTTCAGCATGTTTAAATTTCTTGTTTTTGTTTATTTCTGCGGGTTTGATCCTGCTCTGCATCACCGAGAGCTAGATTTTTAACATATCTGTTTTCTTATTTGTTTGCAACTCATGTGTTTCACATGACTTTAAATCAAAGGGTTGTTCTTGAAAAAAAGGCAATTTTGGAGTCTCCCAAAGAGCCAAAGCAAAACATTTAGTTAATTTGTTCTTCATTTACTAAACAATAAAATGCACTTGTGATTATCGAGTGATCAGAAATAGCAGGAAACTGCATTTGATTCATGTCATCTAAAATTAAATCATTCTGCTCCACTACCCACACAGCCCAAAGATCCATGTTACGCAAGTAAAACCCATAAATCAGATGTTGATTGAGCAATAAGTAAAAGTTTGAATACACCCTTGTTTTGGTTACTGGTTTAAAAGCTTCAGTATGTTGGAAAAATTCTTAAAAGCTGAACTTTCATTATTTAGTTCTTAAAGCATGCTTGGAAAAGCAACACTTTGATCTATGTCCTTGAAAAAGATCCGATAGAGACTTTTTCTCTTTTGTGCCATCATATACTACCTGCACCTAAAAGCAAAATGCCTGCTTGTGTGCGCACTTTGTCTGTACTGATTTAAAACCTTCTGTCAGAACTTCTGGGAGAAAGGACGCAAACGCAGGACACAGAGGCAGGTTGAATAACAAAAAGCAAGCCCTTAATGGCTGTTATGAAAAAAGGAGATACAGGAAGTGCAAAAGACTAGAAAATAAAAACAGGGAATTAAAAAATGGAACAAAAGAGGAAAAAGATGAACAGACAGTGAGGAAAACACAAGTCTATATACACACGCAGTTGATTAAAGATGAAGAAAGTTGAAAACAACTGACGCAGGTGAAAGTAATGAGGGTGGGGTATGCAATCACAAAGGAGGGCAAACAGGAAGTAAAGCAGCTAAAAACACACACAGTCATTACCAGAGTAAAACAGGAAGTGGGGACAAGAAAAGAAAGAACACACTGGGAAAACGTGAACTCTATAAAAACACAAGAAAGAATATGAGTTAAAACAAAACAAGGCCTAACTTGAACAAATACTAAATTAAAAACCAGGACAGCCAAATGATTGCGGGATTAATATGAATTAAATCTCGATTTGGAGTGACCTGTTTTCACAAGATTTGTTCTCTTTATTTCTGCTGGCTTCGCTGCTTAGAAACTGCAATTGCGTCAGTCGCCATAATCAGTGGAATTACCATTTTTGAATATGCAGTAAGGCTAAGTTTGGTGGCGTGACAGCTCGTGGCTGCAGGTTGGCATAGTAACACAGCACGTTTTCTGGTATGTTGGTTTTGCAGGTACACAGCAGCCAAAAATAGCGACTGACAGCACCGCTGAAAAGAAAAGAAAAGAGCAGGCCAGGTGCTCTGTTTTTCTGGAGTTAAAAAGTTTGACTAAAATCTAAAACAAATGAGTTCCGGGAGTTTAATCTGCACCCAGCAGTGTGGCAAAAAAAAGCGCTTTGTTCTGTGTTTGAAGAGATGAGGCTGCTCACTAATGTTTTTGATGCATGGGCTCAAACAGACAGTTAAAGAAGCAGCAGGGAATCCTCTTTTACTTCTTTTAACATGTTTTTCAGGTATTAATGTGGAAACCTGCTTTACAATCAGTACATACATCATTTACATATGTGAGAAAGGATGCTTCAACCCCACGTGAACTATAGTTAAGTGCAGTAATTCATGGCTTAGTGTGATATTTTGACTTTGATTTAAGAGGAAATGAGACTGATGACATATTGAAAAGCTAAGCAGACATCAGATTGCACTCAGCAAGTGGACTTCCTCTTTTGCCATCAACCTGATCTGTTTACCTGCATCCAACCAAAGCCTGCCATCCTCAAGAAACCTCTGGTAGTAAACCTCTTCCCTTGTCCTTTCCGAACAGTTCTGCGTAGAGATTTGCAAAATCTGTTTATAGAGGTTACTCACACTGTAGCTTTGAAAATAACTGAATCAAATGACTTTCAGTAATGTGAAATGATTGCAGAGAATCAACACCCAAGTCTGCAGTGCGTGATGGCTTTCAGCCATTTTCAGCTAATTGTTTTTTTTTCCATCAGCTTCCACCGAGTGTGCTTTCTGCTTTGTATATTTTCAGCAATAAAAGACAGCCGGCGGACAGAGCGATGGAAAACTACCAGCAAAAAAACTCAAAGAAACTAAAGAGAAAACAAAAAAAAAACTTGCAGGAAGGGAAGGTAAACCAGCTGTTGCCGTTCTCCCTCTCTTCAATGCATAACTGGAAGAAAGAGCTTTGAGTGCATTAATTCAGCATGATGTTAAAAGATAATATTAACATAGCAGTGTCCCTTAGGCCTCTACAGAGATCTGCAGAACAAATGCACAAGACTGCACGCACTTACAGTATGATTGCAAAAGAAACCTGAGCATTACACTGGAATGTGTGTCTTATAAAGAGAGTGATAAGTGGAAGAAAGAAAAGACAGCTGATAACAGACTGCATGCTGACGCCAGTGTATCCCTTCTATCTTCCCCTCCTCACTGTTTCTCCTCCTCTTTCTGTAGTTTATTTGGTCGTGATGAATCGGCTCCCTGCACAGTACTGCAGCAGCCACAAGGAGGGCACAATCTCTCCATGCCCATCTCTCTTCATCAGCATGTATCTATCCATCTCATTTTTCTCCTCCTCTAAGCACATCCCTCGCTTTGTTCCTCCCCCTGTCTTTCTCGCCCCTGCTATCATTTGTATCATTTGTTTTTTCCTTCCTCTTCGTTTTTTCCCCCTTTTTCGTTTCTTTGTCTTTCTCTCGCAAACAACGGTGAGACTGCGGGAACATCTTAGGGGGGGAAAAAAAAACACCAGTTCTATGCATGACAAAAACGATGACCTCATCAGCTAATGCTTTACTTGGTGCGATAAGTGACAGGATGATACCTGATGCACGAGTGCCAGATTTATGATGCCTTGGAAAAAGTTTGCACAAAGTACGCTCATGTGTTCACTGCATATTTGTGAGATTTATGGTTCCCTGAGACTTCTGCTCAGACCTGGTGCAGTTTTAGTAAGGCTACTTGTGCTGCCTTGGCTAAAGTCAAGAAACGCAAGATTACACAGATTACATGAAAGACTGCAACAATATTGGCTGCGGCTAAATGTAGATACAGACAGGTGGCTAATCAAAGGAATGACTACTGCAGGAAGGAAACTTTATTCATCTATAAGATTTTGCTGCTTTGATGATGGTGGTGAAGACCGCTGTCTAACATCACAGAGGTGGTGATTGGCTTTAGAACAAGGGCCATAGCATCAATCAATTTTATACTCATCAACTCATTCAGTGAACCCTTGTGCCCTATGGATTGAGGAGCCTTGCCATATATCAGAGACAAAGGCGATCGCTATCAGCAATGTCGTATTGATTTGGCCCAAAACATGCCAGCAGAATGGCCATCAAGACCCCTGACAGGAGAGGCCAAGGTATCAGGCTTTTTCTCCTTTAATGTGTCATTCCACTATATCTGTGTTACTTTGGCAAATACAGTACCACACACTCATGTAATCTTTATCATTCTACTTATTCATGATTCACAGGAATAATACACCTTAAATGCTCATGTTGAAATCAGTGTGTGAGCTCATGGCTCATTGCCTCATCTTGTTGTGTGCCTCTTTATGGGATTTGCAATTTTTGGGGGTTGTGGTCTGTCTCTGGCAAAACTCCCGTATTACTTAAAAAACATGCAGATTCACCTTTTTTAAGAAGTCAAAGTGAGTTGAAACTCCAAATTGATTACATTTTTTGGTACTTGCTTTGAGTTATTATGGCCTGAACAACATAAAATGACCTGACTATGGTAATACCCAACGCCTTATTTTCATTCTTGGACTCACCTTGAGTAGTTTTGCATGATTCACTGTTCAAAATAGCTCTAATTCACTGAGCCTTGGTGCTATTAATCATCAGTCTGAACA